GTGCCCTGTTGATCTTGGCACTTGACCTTGGACACCACGTCTATGCTGTGTGCAGGACTGAGGGTGTGTTTGTCCCCTCTGCCTGAGCCCCTCAGGCCCTTGCACTCTGAGGACACTCGAGGCATGGTAACCATGGGACACTGCTGCTGTCCCAGCGTGCTTCCGGAAGCTTCTCTGGCCCACGGCGGGCTTGTTCCTGGCAGTTGAGGGGCTTCATGCCTATGCCTTGCTCAACATTGCCCTCGACTGAGTACAGTTCACTCCTTTGAATTCCACACAGGGTAGCGGGGGCCAGAAGCCGCTGACAATGTGTTTGCCTGATTCCTGGCCCAGCCCCAGAACAGAGGCAGGTGGGGATGAAGATTCTCCTTTTGTCCTAACTCTAGTCGAGGTGCTCTGTGTCAAGGCTCTGAACTTGGGCCTTGTCCTTGGCCAAGTTAGTTCAGTTTTAGCAAGAATCCTGCTCGGTCAGTTTAGTAAAAATCCTGCTCTTTCCTATGTGATGAAATTCCTCACCCCTCTCTGATATCTGATCCCCTGGCCTGCCTTCAGCAAGAATCCTGTTGAGTAGCTGTATTGTGACCTTTAACACTCCTATTTTCCTGCTGCCTCAACATCCCCACAAACAGGCTTTGAGCAGTGGCCCAGGCATAGCAGGGCGATAAGGTGAGCCATGCCTCAAGTTTACCCCCAAATTTAATCCAGTGACACTCAAATGCTCCCAATAACATACCTTATACACCCCACCCTGATCCCCCATAAAGGCCCTTGCCAGGGGTCATCCCTGCTTCCCCTGCCTAGATGATCCCCCATCCTTTTGGCCTTGTTTGGGAATGACTCATCCACCCTTCACCTTGTCTTTGGGAGATAAGTCTGGAAATGGTTCTCTCCATCAAACTGGACAGATCTGCCATAAGGCAAGAAAGAAAACAGGAGTCTTCTCCTTTCTAAGGAGACCTAACCTGGTCCTGCAGGAAGATCCCTCCTCCTGCTCACTGAGAGCCTTGGAGAATCTGAGCACAATCGATTTTGATTTAGAAGTACTAAAGAAGGTCCTGAAATCTCTCCCCCACTGCAGGTGGGTGACACATTTTCTCTCATCACCATAGGTGGCGGCAGAGGGACCGGAGGGGGCCCAGACCAGTGCCTGGGGAAGGCCGCTGCATCAACCTGACCCTGTATGTGTGCTCTCCAAGGCTGACTGGGCCTTTGATGCACAGAAGGTTTCAGAAAGATGGTGAGTGGCTCCGGGCTAGCTCTGAGGGCGGCAGAATACTGATTTCTTTGGAGGCAGCACACAAGTCCATCCGGGGTCTCTATCTACCAGGAGCTCCAAGACCACCTGTGCCCCTGCGGGCCACAAAGCCCCACCTGATCCGGTCCTCCCAGCAGTAACACCCGGGTAGTGAGGAGCTGGGACCATGGTGTTTCCTAAATTCCGGTTCCTGCACTGAAACAGTCTCCTGTGTGCCCCCTGCTCCCCAGGCAGGCAGGTGTGGCTGGCCAGAGGGGTGAGGCCTGGGGCGGCCCTGGCTGTGGGCCTCTCGCAGGCCAGGCTGCCACGCTTGGGAAGAGGAAGGGAAAGCGGCAGGGAACCTGAGGAATCAGAATTCTAACCCAGTGCCGCCCTCCAGGGGGTCAGAAAGTGTATTTGTGTAAGTGGGAGGCAGGATATGTACTATTTCCCTGTTTATTCCCTTTAATCTTATACTTTAAATATTTACCCAGAGATGGGGACGTCTGTTTGCATTCCTGCCCATGGCTCATGAAGTAACTGAGCCTGGACACCCATCCAAGCGCCCTCAGATCTCGCCTGGCCACCACGATCACCTTCTACCTGATGTCTCTGGGCAGTCGGAGGGGAAGTCCCAAAACTGAGTCAGATCTTGCTCCCGCCTGCTGAACACAGCTGGACCAAACCCAGTCTCCTGACCTAGATTTGTAAAGCCGCCTCCCTCTCTGATTAGGCATGGTTCTCCCCCAGACCACCTTGCTCAAGCCCCAGTGCAGACCCCTCCCCCTTCCTTTTGGTCTGGCTCCTGGGACACACCCAGCTCTCTATTGCCCCAGGCCCTTTGCACTCACTATTCCCTCTGCTATCCCCAGCCTCTCCTCTGGCTGCCTCACCTCTCCAATATTTTCTTGTTGGTTTAAATGTCACCAGCAGAGAGGTGTCCCCTGAGCAGTGGATGGAAAAAAAACCCACCTCCCTTCTCTTATTTCACCCTGTTTGGATCCCTGCACATCCAGCAGGGGCCGCAATCCTCTATGAAGAGCCAGGTGGTCTCTCCTGTGACTGCCATGTATCCAGAAACCAGCGATAGACAGTAGGAAATCAGGGGTATGGCTGTGTTCCAATAAAGTTTTATTTACAAAAACAGGTGGTGGGCCGACTACGGCTCCCAGGCCATTGTCTGCCAACCCCTGAACTTACCCCATCTGGCATTTTTCTCATTTGTTTATAGCCTGAGTCTTGCCTCTTGCTCACTGTGGTCTCTCCCGTGCCTAGAACAGTTCTTAGCATATCTAGACACTGTGAATCTCTTTTATTTATTTTTTTTCT